GTAGCTTGGCAGTGTAATAACTCTGGCTTCCCTTCTCTTCCACGCCTCTCGTCTATCTCTTCTCCTGGGGGTAGTAGATGAGTTACTCCTCTGGGACTTGAAAGACCCCTGCTCAGGTGGTTTGGGACTCCTCTTACTCCTTAAGTTGTTGGAAACAATCCCCACCCTCTCAGGCAGACGACATAAGAGTCAATTCTCCAATGCAATATAAAAAATGTTGTTTCCAGGAGCTCTCCTCGTCATTGACTTTGTGCACGACACCGAAGTCGCTATCATGGAGGAAACCTAATTAGCAACACAAAAGGAGAACAATGGGGGAAAAGGGAATATAATACAAGTTAATTTACATTTTTACCTGTTTTTTCAGAGCAATAATTTATAAACATTTTAATGATAGTGAAAGTGAAAAATATGTTATTGTTTGAAAATCTTAATGTACTAGCTTTTTACCCGGCCTGTTGGCCGGTGAGTTTAATTTTATCATTTACATTAATCAATTTATCTATATGTTTAAACTATTTTGGATCTTTTAAATTTTTTACATTTGCATTCATTTGCGAGTATGCGGTGCGTCTATAAATGAAAAATTCTCAATACTTAGCACATTTACTTATGATGCTTCGATTCACTGATCATAAATCATGTCACAAAGATATATCACATCCCATATAGAATCTTATGTCAAGATTTGTCAATCACGATACTCAATATTTTTTTTGTCTTATACAATATATATGTCATTCAATGAATCTCGAGTTTAGACGAACTCTCAACAAATGATGTTGCTCAGATGACGACAATTTAGTTAGAATTTTTTTTATAAAGGTACTTCAATATTACATAAATTTGGTCATCCCAATTGAAAGTTTGTTGTCTTAGTGTAAGATCATATTTGTCTATCAAGACACTAAATTTAATATCTTATACAATATGTACCAATTGTTAATTCCTGAAGTTTAATATAGACCCACCTTCAACTGATGGTCATTGTTTAGATGTTGGTTTAGAATCTCGGTAAACGATACTCACACACTGTCGAGGTTTCTAATCTTAACATGGTCTCTTGTTGTATAATTTTCTAACTTATCAAATATGCATTTGCTAAAATTTATTTATCTTTGGTGTTTGTTTTGAGATAAAAATTCCATTACTTATACTAATATCTTCATTTTGTTGGTGTAATGCCACATCTATTGTCAATATCTAAGCATGATATTATACTCTAAGTAAGAAAATGCTATCTGGACCATGAATTAACCGGATTTGAAGGCATGATACTATACCCTAACCCTTGATGAGTGAACCCAAGGTCTTAGTTATCTAAATCATAGAGCTTAACCCTAAGATTGTGCATGTAATTTGTTGCATAGATTTTAACGAATCATGACCATTGCTTTTTGTTTATAATTAAATTGATTTTAGGTATGGGATTTATAAATTTAAGACCTAGATTTTAATCTTTAAGGGTTTGAGAATAATATCATATGCAACACCAGTCAATTCAAGGTCAAGATATCATTTTCTTACTCAATGTATGTCATAATATACATATATAAATATAAAGAGTTTAATGTATTTTTAAGTGTAATTAACACCTTTGTTTGACCAAAATATGTAAACTGTTAAGAAAAATAAGGGGAAGTATGAAGAAATGTAAGAGAAAAAAGGTATGGAAGCATGCATTATAAGAGAGAAGAAAAGTTGTCTTTCTTTATCGTCTTCATTTGTACAATCAGGTACTATATTATGGCTTCGTCAAGTTTCTATCAAAATGAAAAAACAACTTTTGAAGCATTTTGCTATTTAATACTTGTTTTCGTTGACAGATACAAACATTAGAAAAAGATAGTGTTTAAACTCAATTGATTATTAAATGTTGATTATCTAAAATTCCTTCATCATATTTTTTTTAAAAAAATTCTATTACTTATCTGTGTGTTTAATTTATTTTTTTATCGAAAATAACCTATATTAAGTTCAAATAAAAATAAAATGAAAAATTAATTGATCAGATTTAATCAAATATATTTTTTGAAGTATTACAAAATACGTCACTCTCCAAACATAAGTATACTGCTGCTACACATATATATTGAAAAATAAAATTATTGAATATAAAAAGAAAACAATAAAAGAAGATAGAGATAGCTACATAAATGATGATTAAAATAAAAAAATATTAAAAAACAGATATAGCTACATTAATTGATCATTAACTGACTTTTTTGTTTGTAAAAAAAATGTCCACCATGGCACCTTGTAAATTCTCCAAATGCTTATGTGGCAACAAACTACTTTTGAATTGCTATAATATTATGTATAGATAGATAGATTATATTCTATGCGTTCAGATTCGGACCGGACGTTTTACCGGAAAAGTTAGTGATTTATGATTCAACGATTAATTGTAATAGAACAGTTGGTTAACCGTTCATGCGCTATAACTAACTTAGGACTCAATTTATTACTCTAACCATTAACAATTAAAATTCATATCATCTATCACCAAAAGTTCTAACAAATCATTCAGACTATCTCACAAAATAAACTCATGATTTGTTTTATTAAATTCAAGTTAATAATTAGGGTTACAATCCACAATGGACCGCATAAAGCAGACAAGGAGGCTGGAAAATGAAAAATATGAAGAAGAAATAAAATTTGTAGTTCAAGTTGAATGGAATTAGTTTAAGTTATAATATTGTTTCTCTTAATTATTTGGTGATAAAATAGTGAACTAGTAAAACCGGAGTGACTCATATAGTTTAATGTCCAAGCATTAAAAATTGTTCGGTCCATCCCAAACCGTCAAAACAAAAGAATCGAACCACTATTATAACTGATTATTTAGTGATTCTATTATGCGTCGTTGATCCGGTTATGTTCTTATAAGAATGAAATTTATATTCCATTTTGGCATTTTCTACGAGCGATGATGATGCAATTTTTTTTTTTTTTTTGAAAAATGGTGACCTCAATTAAAGAAATTACAAGTTACAAACATGAAAGTGAAAAGGAAAGGGAAGGTGCGCTGCAGACCGAGTGTCCAGCGGCAACCAGAGAAAAGGGGAGCGAATCAAGTCAATAATCTTTTGGTATAACTATGCATAATTTAATCAGAATCCGCCACATCAGGCTTTTAATTTCCAACCTATTTTTTAATGGACGATTTCTCACTCATTTTAAGTAGAAATTTAATTTTTTTTGCACATTTAGATCAGATTAATTGTGCGCTTCAAAATGATATCTACTTTGATATATTTTTTAAACTAAAAAAATTGAGCCATTTTTTACCAGTCTATACCATATGGTATTGACTGGTATTGAAATAAGAGCATACCTATAGTGTGAAAGCGTACCATGGTGGTATGAAAAAACCAAGACTATAGGATGATTGAATACATGATAGTAGAAGTATATTAACTGTCATTTACTACTTTTAACATTGTGTACCACAAGATACCACCCCATACCAGAGTAGTATTGTGTAGTATTTTTGGTCCTGTATTTTGTTCACCCGAAAATTTGTAGATCCAATAGTTCATGATACCACCCCATACCACGGTGGTATTGTGTGGTCTTTTGGGTCCTATATTTTTTTCACCCGGAAATTTGTAGATCCAATAGATCATGATGAACTCGTTAATTCTGTGTAAACATTTTCAAAAACGACTTAAAAACGAAGAAGATATCATATGATATGTAGTTGGTAGCGAGAGGCAAGAAAATTTCTTTTTTCTCAAAAAATATTGAAAATTGATCTCATTTTGTAGAGTACAACGAACTCGTTCTATTTGTGCAAAAAAAAATTTGAAATCCGAGTTAAAACGAAGAAGATATGAGCTGATTAAGAAAACAAAGGAAAATAAAAATGTCTTTAATTCTCCATCTCTAGATCTCGATTTTTTGAATTAAGAGCCCAGATTTAGTTACTGATAGGTGCATAACCTGTGCACTTTTATTTTGAGCAGAGCAAAGGAAGTAAGGATGATGATGCAAAGTATCTTTGACCACAATATTTAAAGTGACCAATATTTATTGTGCAAAAAATACTTATATACCTCAATATGTTTATTTGCATTCCATATATACCTAAAACAAATTTAGTATGAACCGTTATAAAATTAATCAATGAGTTAACTTGTAGTAGGTAGGCGATTTCCCCATTAAATACAGAAGATTTACCACTTCAGTGTGTTTTTTTTCTCTTGGCGTTTTGACTATTTTATTCATTAACTATCCTTATTTTTTTAACCATATACACAATCAATCCCTCTATTGGTAATTATTTCCTCTTATATTAAAACTTTCTTTAATGAGATAATATTCTTACAAATTATACTTCCCTTTTCTTGTCTTGACCATTTGAAAACCTCATTTTCTCTTTCACTTCACCTCATTATAAATAGGAGATAAAGGGCTCAATCTTTTGCAATCAAGTTGCTCAATATCTCTATTGACAAGTAGACCAAACTTAGAAGAAACCAAATCGACAGACGACAGCAACTCAGTAAGAAACAGAAAAACGTCTCAACATGAGTTCAGCAGCAGCCTCTATCAGACTATTTTTGCTTCTATTCATCTTAGGTATAAACATTCCCTCGCTATCATACATATGCATATGCATATGCATTTTGTAGTACTTTGTACTCCGACACGGCGATGCATATGTTCAAAACTTTCCTGGGCCTCGAGAACTAACTATCTCAGTGATTTATTGCATTTGGATTGATTAACACTCAGTTTAAAAGTTGATCAGTGCACGGTGTTACTAACAAATGATCATTATTTATTTATTTTGGTTCTGCAGGTTTGACAATCTCCTCTGCCTCGCCAATCCGCACAGAAGGCGTGGATTTGCGCTGCCAAAAAGATGAAGATTGCAAAAATCCTGCAATTGTAGCGGAACTGAAATGCCCCCCTGAGGATCACCTTCATTGTATCTATAGACCCAAAATCAAAGACGTTAAATTTTGCCAATGCGTAGATGATTGATCATTAGGAGATGTAATTTATTAAACATACCTTTATGGCTTCCTGCCAGATTACATATCTCAATTTGAGAGACAACTTGCGCCTTTTCTAGTTTTCACTTGCCTTGCCCGCATTAGCACCAGGAATCCAATTACACAAGTGAATCGGAATTGCTTGATGCTGAAGTGACGGACGGACAGAGAAAGCTCAAAAGAGTTAAAGGGCGCTGGAATTACCCCAATGGCTGCCTGCCATTCCTTTCGAGGGGATAATGGGGGAATCAAAGCAAAGCCAACACCAAGCACAAGATTTGGTTGTTGTTGTCAACATATCGTCTTCCACATACTCTGCCAAAATCCAAATCCCACCGCCAAATCCAAGCCAGTCGTACCCTATAGCTCTCTATAGCAAATTAGCAGTCTGTATAGTCTCTTCTTCTTGTTCTTTCTAACGTTATCATCGTTTATCCGGGGGAAAGAGCTCCGAAAATGGCATTAATGGTGTCCCCGCCCCCAACAAAATCGAAACCCGCCTCCCCCTACGAAATTGGGCATAACCCATTTCCCAAAACCCTCAATTTCAGCCGAATTATAAAACCCATTTCTCAAGCTCGAAACTTTACCTCTACCGTCGTACGGTTTTCTTCCCACAAGAATCCTGCCGCCAGGTTAGTATCTGCATCCGCCAATTCCGACATCGCCGGCGGTGGGGAGGTTGGGGATTTTGGCGGGGGAGGGGACAGGAGAAGAATTCTGTTGTCGGACGTGGTGGTGACGAGGGAGAGAAAATTGTTCGGTGGCCGGAAATGGAATTCGCTGGATGTATCGACGGCGGTCGTCGTGGTTGCTATGCATTTGCTTGCTCTACCGGCGCCTTTCTGTTTCAGCTGGCCGGCCTTCTACGTCGCCGTTTCGCTCTACATTATCACCGGACTCTTCGGTATCACTCTCTCCTTCCACAGAAACCTCTCCCACCGAAGCTTCAAGCTCCCCAAGTGGCTCGAGTACTTGTTCGCTTACTGTGGCGTGCACGCCCTTCAGGTGACGTAACCAAAGAAACTTATAATCTTACTGTTTCAAGAGCATGTAAAGAGAGTTGATTTTGAAGGGGTTTGAGAGCAGGGGAATCCGATAGATTGGGTGAGCACGCATAGATACCACCATCAATTCTGCGATTCAGAGAGAGACCCACATAGTCCACTTGAAGGGTTCTGGTTCAGTCATATGAGTTGGCTCTTTGACACCAACTCTGTTGCAGAAAGGGTACAGTTTTATTACTCCACTTTCCCCTACAGATTCCGTCTCAGGTCAGGCTATTGGTTCAGAATTATTGATGTTGTGGTGTGACAAATGCAGTGTGGAGGAACTAACAATGTTGGGGATTTGGAAAGTCAATCCTTTTATCAGTTGGTGAAAGCTACTTATGTTTTGCATCCAATTGCTCTTGCTGCCTTGCTCTATGCAGCTGGTGGTTTCCCTTTTCTGGTCTGGGGAATGGTAAGAGTTGCTCTTTCTTTGATTTTGCTGGACATACTTTGGCAGCCTTTCTGCTATTTTTCAGGTTTTGAGATTAGTCAATCCACCAATAGTCTCATTGGGTAGGAAATGACACAACCTTTCCATATAGTAAGATCATTACCCACATTGGCCAAACACTTCAATTTGTTAGCTAAATGGTAAGACCCAAAAATGAGTCGTTGGCCAGAAGGAAAGAGGAATCAAGCAGCCATTTGAAATCCACAAGTTTTGAGTTGGTAATTTTCTTGCAGGGCATTGTTTTCAGAAATCACCTGAGTGGCATTCAATGTGGCAGCCTGTTACATTAAAAACCAGAAGTTAAGACTTCTGTAGGACCTGAGTAGGAGGGATATGTGGCTTTATCCTTTTCCTTTGAATTCTGGTGGCTGTGTCAGCAGAACCAGACTTTTGTGCTGGAAGAACTCATATCTGACATGTGAACATTACCTGATCGCAAGTTGTTTGGAAGTTAGTGGTTTATAAGAGATTTGGACTGGGCAGTGAGTGGGGACTGTGGGAGCCACTTCATGATTATATGCTCTCTGACTTCTGATGAGCTAATTAAGTTTAAGAGAGACCCTCTCCAATCTCCATGATTAATCAAATCATTTCTTGAAGTTAATTAATAACCCTTTTTCCTGTTTCCTTTCCTACTTAACCATGAGTAGGGCGTGAGGATAGTTTGGGTATACCACATCACATGGCTGGTCAACTCAGCTTGCCATGTCTGGGGAAGCCAGGACTGGAAGACTGGTGACTTGTCCAGGAACAACTGGTAATTGCTGCAAATCATTTTTTCTTTTGTGCAGTGACTTTTTTCCCCCTCTTAACTAGGGTAAACTCTTTAGAACTCTGTCTCTTCTCCTGATTCTTAAGCTTAAAAGCAAGGTTTTGGTGGGGCTCAATGCAGGTGGGTTGCAGTGCTAGCATTTGGGGAGGGTTGGCACAACAATCATCATGCTTTTGAGTACTCGGCCAGGCATGGCCTGAAATGGTGGCAGATCGACATGACTTGGTATGTTGTTAGGTTTCTTCAAGCTGTGCGATTGGCCGTCGATGTGAAGCTGCCGACAGAGGTTCAAAAGAGGAAGATGGGCTTTGAAAGTTAGAAGCCAATGCATGCATTTTTTGCAGTGTTGTACTTGTCCACACTCTGTTTCTCTGTTCTTTTCGCGGGTGAAAGGATGTGTAGTACTGGTATCTTTTCGCGGGTGAAAGGATGTGTAGTACTGGTAAACTCTAGAGGAAACTTCTAATTAAATTAAACTATTAATTAACTCTTTAAAAGAACTAGCGTGGCCCCGGCCATTTGGCCGGAGGAATGCGAGGTATGAAATTTGATAATGTAATAGGGTGTATGGCTTATTGTTGTATAGTTTTTTTTGGGAAACATGGGATAAAAATAGTGAATTTTAGTAGGAAAGAGACATGAATGATACAACGAATCAAAAATCAGTCTTATGAACCAAAATCAAGTACTTGTTACCTTGTGAAACAATATTGTTTCGGGTAATATGATGAGGTGGAGTAAGTTTTATAGAAACCGAATTCCAAAAAATCGAATAAAAAATCGCATATCTCGCCGGTTTTCGGGAAATGAGCATTTCACAATCGTTGCTAGCTTTTACTCGGCCCGTTGGCCGATTAATTTGCTTTATAAAACTTTCATCTTGTCATCATTGTGCTTTCTGGTTTTTTGCCAAGCCATGATAAAATCTAAAGAAATCAAGAATGAAGAACAGGATTTGGGATAGGAACCACCGTTCCTGTATCCCTAGAAAATGGTGGTAAACACGGACTCACCTGCCAAACTGGTTTGGACTGAGATTTTTATAGGATATCATGGAACCATGTAATTATAAATTAGACTTGATCAAAACGGGCCAAAACTTGAAATTCAGCCTGTTTGACCGACCCATGCCAAAACTCTAATTATTCTTTAATTTTAAACTTTCTATTTGAAAATAAAAAACAATGAAAGAAAAGAGATGACTGCAATTCGCCATTTGCACATCACTGGTTCGGGAATGGAACTATAGAATTTCGAAAGAAAACTGAAAATGTTTAGGATCGCTTTAATGTTAAAAATAACCAAATAGATCTTTCTGTTTAGTTTTTTTACTAACAAATACCAAACGATTCCCTATAATATACACTATAATTTAATCATTACGATATCAAATAATTACATAATATATATTTGAAATGATAAAAATTGGACTAATTGGGTTGGTCGAAGTTGAACCATTGAATAACTTTAAAATACATTATATTTTAGCCATTAAGATATAAAATAATAGCATAATATATATTATGCTAGAGAAAATAGCTTGTTTTAGAATGGCAAACCCATGATGTTCATTTGTTTTACTTGATGGGCAAATCCCGTGTAGGTGAGGCCCATTCAACTCTTTTATTTTATGATTAGAGGTTAGCCCATTAGAATCCATGCATTAGTTTATTGTTAATTTTTTTTCTTTTTAGCAATAAAAAGGAGTATTGTTTTTGCATTTTCATATATATTTTACCACCACGGAGAAATAAAAGGACTTAAAGGAAAAAATTGACACTCCTGGACCCGCTTAAATCCGCATGTGTACGGTAAGTTGGCCCGTTCCACAGAGGAAAAAGAAAAAAATTGACACTCCCTATTCTACCCTTCCTACAAACGCTCATGGAGCAGGGAATTTGAAATGGGGGAATGGTTTTTTCCTCTGCGATTATATGTTTTTAATTTAAAACAATACAACAAATGTACCTAGTGTGATTGGTTATGATCTTTGATTTTCTTTAAAGTGGTCATGGTTCGAATCCTAGTAAGTGTCTTTTTAATGAATAAAAAAAAGTTATTGTTAAGACCACAATGTCCTTCCTACTTTCACTCTGGATGTCGAAAATTTGAAATGGGGCTTCAAGTTTTCTCATTTGGCTTTTATTTATTGTGTAGATAGACAAGTAACAAAATCACTATTTTTCATACAGCCACATCACAAGAGGTGTTTTTTTTTGTAATTAACCAAAACTTGAATGAGTTTTTGTGTCATTATTATTAATTAAACTATTAAAAGAACAAATTCTAAAACACTATTTCATAGCTAAATCGCTATTCGCCGCCCTAAAATTTAAATGTTTTCGCCTTAAACTATATTACATTGACGTTTATACTCCTATTTTCAATTTTAAATCCCCAAACCCACCACAACCCATAACTTCCCCACCAGCCAAATTCCGGCTGCTGCCGTTCACCAACATGTCGCATCTCAAATTCTTCTAACCTATAAAAACAACAATTTCCCAATTTGCCGCTGCAGTTCCCCCAACCGTCGGCCCGCTGCTTCTTTTGTTCTGATAATCATCAACAGGCCGAAAGCAGGGCTGCTCCCCCTACGAATTGTAGCACTTCCTTGTGGCTCATCATTTGGAAAAGCCAACGCATAGAGCTTAAGTGAAATAACAAGTTAATAACATGCATAGTTGTCCTCTTCTGTTTCTCAAGAAGGTCAATACGAAGAAAGAAACGCATGAGACTTTGTGCGGAAATTTCCACCAGGACTGCCGCTATACTATGCACACCCGGTGAGCCATAGGGTCGCATTAGTGGATTGGACAGTATCTCATTTCCTCAACATAGAGACTAAGAGGGTAGCTTTGGCTACTTGTTAGACTTCCCTGCGGTTTATAACCCCCTAACCACACTCGGTCATTCGTTTCTTCAAGTCGTAATTGTTAGCTAGGGGGAGCAACACCCGGGTGAAGCCTTCTCAATTAGTGTCAAATCCATTTTACCTTTGCAAAGTAATTTAGCTTTAGACTTTTGTTTTCACCAAAACCAATTCGGTAGATAATGTTTCAAACAGTCAAAGTAGCGGTACATGGGTCGGCCCGAGTCGATATTTAAACATATATGTCGTACATTGCACCCATCTAAGGTTTATACTTGAACCTTAGGTGGGATTTTATTGTGATAGTGAGAGCGAGTCAAGTTTTTGGCGCCATTACCGGGGAACAGTGGTCCGTTATCGTGAAAAATTTGTTTGGTGTTAATCTAGCTTTTAATTTCTGTTTTGTTAAGTTGTGAAGTGTTGCTTAGGCTAGACGTGTTGTGTTCTTTAAGTGTGTGTGTAGGGTGCTGCATGACCGGGAGCAATCCGACACCTTTAATACCACAGGACAAGGACATCAATCAGACTCTCCGACTTTTAGCTTGGGAGAGAGAGCTAGTGGAGGAAAGAAGGAGAAGTGAAGAGAGGGGATAACAAGTTGGTCCCGGATTTGAAGGCATTGAAGGAGAATTTGAAGTTGAGATGGCGGCAAATCAACCTCAAGCCTCAAATCCCGCCCCGAATGCAAATGTGGAAGCGAGAGCCGAGCAAGAGCCAAGGACTATGGGCTATTACAAGGCTCTACGGGCGGCGGATATTCAATCTCCCATCTTACATCCACCCGTGGCCGCCAACAACTTTGAAATCAAAGCCCTCTCTCGTGACGATGATTCAACAAAATGTCTTATTCCACGGGCTTGCCCATGAATCACCACGAGAGCATGTACAAAGGTTTCTTGAGCTAGCGGGAAGTTTGAAGGTAAATGGTGTCTCCGTGGAGGCATTACACTTGAGGCTATTCCCCTACTCTCTTCTGGGGAAGGGGCTCCGATGGCTCAACAACCGACCGGCTCTATCCATTACCTCTTGGGACGATTTGCTCAACAAATTTATGAACCGATATTGTCCTTCCAAGACGGCCGAGTGGAGGAAGAAGATCACTCAGTTTGAGCAAGAGTAGGATGAGACGTTGAGGGATGCATGGGAAAGGTTCTCGGACTACTTCCCCCAATGCCCTCACCATGGGTTCGAAGAGAAATTTCTGATAGAAATTTTCTATGGCGGTCTCATTCTAGATGACAAGATCCTTATCGACTCTCTTTGCCAAGGGATGTTAATGAACATGACCCCGCCTCAAGTCACTGAATTGCTTGAATATATGGCTCTTAAAGGATATGATTGGGGCTTGACGATGAGTGGTAAGAGAACCGCCGAAAGAGGAGTGAGAAGTGTGCGAGCAAGTGCTTCACTTGAAGCAAAGCTTGACAAGTTGATCGAGGTGATCCTTGAGAGCAAGAAGCAAGGGAAGGAGCAGTTAGTGCCATATGATTGGGGTGAAAGCTCGGGGTACGAGGAAGCTGGGTGCCAAGTGATGAATGAGGAACCGACATATTACGAGCAGTTGAACTCTATCTCCCCTGTGCACACCGACCGGATGTCTTGTTTGGAAGAGTTAATGACAACTTTGCCCACTCCAGATCTAAGAAGTTTGTAAAAATTGAGAGGTTCATAGGGAAGTGATAGACCAATAATTACACATGTTTTCACCCCATTCTGAAGCCGTTTGAGATGTGGATCCTAGTGTTTTAAGCCGATTTCACGCCAGGGTATGTGTTTATGTCATATTTCAGGTCCCGGCGTTGGAATCGAGGCGGAGGAACGATTTCTGGGTCGAAAGGAGTGAAGTTGGGACAAAGTAAGCTGCAGGAGGAAAATACCCGGTCAGGTGGCAAAATACCCGACCGGGTATTTATCGTTTTTGGCCCCGTGAGACGCAGAGGGGGGCCCGGGCAAAATGGCTAAAATCCCCGATCGGGGATTATGGAGAGTGACCGGGGATTTTCCCTTGAGTGAAACGGTGAGTTTTGGATATACCCGGTCGAAACCCAAAATACCCGACCGGGTATTTCGACCGGGTATCGCGACCAGGCAGTCAATTTAAGGAGAAAGAAGGCCAACATTGAAGGGTTCCGAGTTTTTGAGAGAGAAAGCGATACCTAGAGAGAGAAAGCGACGAACCAGAGTTCCCAAGCGCCATAGATCGATCTTCATCACCATTGGAGCCCGGCTTGAGCTTGGAGAAGTGCGATTAAACGTCCAGGAGCAGGAATCCATCTTCACAGTATGATTTCCGCGTCTGAATCTGCTTTTGCTTCTTTCTCTATGGAGTAGTTTCCCCCATTCATCTGGGTATGGGGAACCCTAGATTTGTATGCTAGGTCTGATTGTATGAACCCAATTACAGAGTTTGTGAATTGATTATATTCGATTGAGGTTTGAATGATTGAATGACTTGAATCCTGATCAAATTCCTGTTGTTTCTGCTTTGACCTAGAATGAGAATATCTGCCTAGGTTGATAGAGTACCCTTAATCGAAGGTGGCGAATTGGTGACTTTAGTCGAGGAGCCAATTCGCTATTCTGTACTGAATTCAATTCGGTAGTGGAGGTTTGGTTCGTTAGGGCCTCAATCTGTTTACTCCGGTGGAGGTTAGTCGCCCGCTAGAGACTCAGATTGAGAGGGTCTGGAGACCTTTAGTCGAGACTTCAGGCTAATTGAGAACCTTCCGCAGTATAACTTTCATGAAAACTGAACTTGGTAAATTGCAATCCGGCTTAACTGCAGTCTAGGGGGAACCATATCCGGGTGACCTC